AGTAACTGTATCTGTTAGCTCTAGTAATGATAATAATAATGATAATAATGATAATAATAATAATAATAAAACTTTGTAACATTAGCTTCATTTTTTACAGTACTGGAACTTGCAGTTTATAAGTATGTCTTTGACATGAGATGCATAACACAGAAAATCTAGGTTATAGAGTGATTTTTCCAGGAAGCCCTTCCATTATGGTTCTGATCTTGGTTAAACAGTGGTTGTTAGAATTTAAGTCAAGTACTAGCCTCTTCTGTTGTATCCTGTACCATTTTTCCTTGTATTATGCTTAGGCCATTATTTCCCATGCAGATAATATTTGTCAATATTCTCTTTCAATACTTAAAATACATCAGTCACAATATAAATTTACCAAATGATGTATCCTTTTGCCCTTCAACTGCAGTTGCTACCTTACTACATTGGAAATCCTCATAGCTCTATTGCATGTTGAGTCACAGCTGTATTATTAATCACTAATTTTACATTGCACATAGTAGGTTAGAGATTTCTTTCATGCTTATAACCTTTATTCTTTGAATGAAGTCAGGATTTTTCATCAATTTACAAAACATTTTTATTTGGATTTGTTTGAACTGCATGAAAACACAGATTATTTTGGTAGAAACGAACAAGTTAACAGTATTTAGCCATTTCCTATTTTAACTCTAAGTACTGAAAACTTTCATACTATTCATATGAACATCCAATTTTTCCCACTTTGCTATATCATGTATTTTTATGCCTCAAAGTTCAACCTGAGCCTTAAAAAAATATGCTGTACATGCCTGTATTAAACTTTGCAACATATAGAGTACAATTCTAATGCTCATCTAATTTTAACATCCATGCCATTTTCATCTGTTGATGGGCTGATTTTTCTCATCATGGCTCATATTTTTGTTTCGCATACCTGGTAATTACAAGGTAGACTGTTTAAATTTTACTTTGTTGGGTGCTGGTTATGTTTTATATTTCTATAAATATTCTTGAACTTATAGTTAATAGTTACCTGGAAACTGATCCTTTCAGGTCTTACTCTTCAAATCTGTCAGGAAGAATCAAAGCCCTGTAGTGGGCAGCTAATTATTCTACACTACTAAGGCAAGACTTTTCCAAGGATCCTACCCAAATGCCTCACAAATTGTTTTCCATTCTGGAAAGCAGAATGGCACTAATCTCAGCCCTGTATGAGCATGGTGTTGTACCCCTCTAACGTTGGGGCATTTATCCCCTGCCCCAAGTTTTCTGGATGGTTTCTTCACCATATTAACTAATCAGTGTCTTCTACACATCTCTAGAATTCTCTCTGGCAGCTCTCAAGTACCCTGTCCTGCCAATTCTTCCTGCATTGGTCTCCTCCATCTTTCAAGCTCCTCATATCAACACAACTGTCTACTAGGTTCTACCTGGTTTGCTGTGCTGCAATAAGGTCCCAGAATGTGAGGGTGACAGATCATTTACTTCCTCTTATGGCATTCTTTGAATGCCTAATGATCAGTACTTTGAAAACCTTTGTATATTTTAGAGCCTATTACTCAAGCTATCTGCTGATTTCTGTAACTGTACTTTAAGATTTCAACTTCCTTCCAAAATCACTCATTCTTGTTTCATAATGGCTGCTACTTTATAATCATTTCTTAGTTTTTGGCTATTTTTCCTGCCTTTACATACTCAAGGCTCTAATTTTCAATTCTTGTTTTGCAGATTATTTCTATTTAAAAAAATATTTATTTTTATGTGCGTATGTGTGTGTGTGTGTGTGTGTGTGTGTGTGTGTACCATGTGTGCAAGTATCCATGAGGCTAGAAGAGGGTGGGATCCCCTGGAGCTGGAAGTACAAATGATTATTACAAATGGTTATGACATGGAAAATGGGAACTGAATTTGGGTTCTCTGGAAGAGCAGTAAGTGCTCTTCACTGAGCTGTCTCTCAAGTGCCTGATTTCTATTTCTTGAAGCATAAACAAGCAATACAACAGCATAGTTAAGAGTGTGCCCTCTAACGCCAGACTACTTGGATTCAAATTCTAGTTTTATTACTAATCGATCTGTGCCTTTATTTTGCCATTCTATAAAACGCAGGTAATAATAGTACTTATTTTACAGGATTAGTTTAATGATTAAGCATACATTTAAAATGGTGCTTGGCATATAGTAGTGCTCAATAAAAGGGCAAGGTATTACCTATTATGACTCTCTTTTTTCATCTTAGTATATGTTTTTCATATACCTAAGGTAATTTGTGATTTCTGGATGAAAACTCATCTTCTATGGAAACTTTTACATGACCTGGATTGTTGACAAACTCTAAGACAGTAAGCATCACCCTAGCCTCAGCTTTATAGAAGTATCTTGGCCCCACACCCACAATGATGTACCTCGGTCTCTGGCAATGACAGACGGTACATTTCTGACTGGCAAGTGACTCAGGCAGGGTTAACATGCTTCCTCAGGTTCTATTCAAGACCCTGTTGTGGTTCTCTTCTGCTCCTTTCTTATGGGGAAAACCTCTTTCTCACCAAGGGAGACTTCCTATTCCTGTTTTGATCATGTCTGTGTTAATAATTATATTTAGAAACATTATTGTTATATCGTTTCTATCATTTTTATAACCCCAGAGTATAAAATTTCTTCACTTTAACTTTTCATTGTTTTCCTGAAAGTGTTTCACAAGGGTTTCTACATTACCCTTGTGTATTCTAAAGTAACTTTTGATATGCTGGGATATATAGCTTCACTATCAAAGGGAAGTTTTGAAGTTTGTACTGAAGTTTGAAGTTAGTACTGAAGTTTCTAAACATTTTTTCCGATTTTATTTTCTAGTTCAATCATCTTACCTACAGATCTTATCTCTTTTCAAAAAAACTTTTTCTTTTCTTATCCTGTGGTATTTGCCAAACTCTTAAAGATAAATCACTGAAAGCAGGTACTTCCCATTTTATTTGGAATGCATTTAGCATTAATGATCATGTTGGTTTCATAAGTAATCTTTAATTAAGCGTGGTAAAAATGTACTGATTTCTTTTACTAAGATATTTTAAATCAGAAAACAATGTTGACTCTTAAGGGTTTTCATCAATTGATTAAATGATTAAGTTGCTTTTGTCCTCTGACCCAATGAGATTAATACATTATATTGACAGATTTCCTCACTACAGTTAAAGAACATTGAGCTTGGGAAATCTCTATTTCTACAGTAAACATATCTGCATGGCTTACAGATAAAGAATGTGCAAATCCACCTACAGGCTACTGTGGATGTATATCCCAACATTGTACTGACTTCTAAGGCAAGGTTGATTAAGGTATGTAGCTTCCTTTTGACTCTCTCTTAAGAGACACTCTCCCTTGAAGCCCAGACCTAAAGTGAGGGACCCCATGTTCAGACACACCTCTGTGAAGGCCCAAGTGACAGCCAGAAACATCAAGCAGATATGTGAGTGGGCAGGCTTTAAGATGACTCAATTCTGGAGCATGTATTCAGCTTTCTCTGGGTGCTAACCAAAGTGAGCCTGGTCAACTCCCAGAATTTTTGGTGGTTTATGCACTAAGCTCAGAGTGGTTTGTTATATAGCAACAGACAGCCAGAACAGATACTCAGACTTTATTCTAGATCAACATCATCATCGTCATCATCATCATTTGTTCCTGACAATACTAGAATTTCTTTACAATTTTTAATTAGCATTGATATTTATAAACTATCCTCACAAACTATAATTAGTAACTATTTCCTTAAGTCCTATTTTGTAATTGGTACTTACATGAATTTTGTGCCTAATATGCTAGTGCTAAGAGGTAATTGCAAAGAAGATGGGTATAATCCCAATACTCACAGACGTAACTTTCTAGGAGAAACAGATATCAAAATAACTATGAGGTTTGAATGTCTTTTTCAAAGTTCATGTGTCAAGAATCTTAAACACCAATGCAACAAGGTTGAGAGCTGAGACAATTAAGAGATTAGGCTAAGAGAGTTCTACCCTTATGAATGGATTAATACCATTACCTAGGAGGACTAGTTACCCCTCAGGAGTAGCTCCTGACAGGATGAATCTGGTCCCCTTGCTGCTCTCTTGTGCATGTGCTATTGTCCTTTCACCACCCACTCTGAGATAATGCAGGAAAAAGGCCCTCTGACAAACATAGGTCCTTTACCTTTAGAGTTCCCATCTCCAGAACTGTAAACAAACAAACAAACAAACAAACAAACAAAACAGATTAAGATTCACTTTCTAAGTAAAGGAACAGTATATGCTGAAACAAATTTTAAGGGCATCTTACCAAATTTGAAAGGACAGTGTTTGAGAAAGACTTGTCTGAGAAAGTGACAACCTTAGACTTAGATGGGAGCAGAAACGAACTTAAGACAGAAAAAAAGAGTGACAGCAAAAAGCACAGCTTGTGCAATGGTCCCAGATTGGAGGAAACATGATAAATTCATGTGAACAGCCTATGGAATGCAATGTCATTAAGGAGCTGAATGAGTAGAAAATAGAAAATAAGGAGACATGTAAATCTAATAAAGCCCTACTAAAGATTTTAGAGCTTTGAGATGCTGGTGGAAGATATGAAAAGGAATTTACATTTGTGAGGTTTTCTTTTTTTTTTAATGGGTTGGTTTTTTAATGGAACATATATAATATGAAATCCAGCTATGTTACTGTACTTTTGGTAAAAAATACTGGATAGCCAGGAAAAAAATAGACCAGTGGTCAAATATCAAACAAGTGAAGAATTTTAATTTGAAAGGTTTTGTGGAGAAATACAAGAAAATCAGACATACCCAGGCTTCCCTTTCCAATGTAGCTGGATGGCTCCCGGAAGGCTGGAGCCTATCAGTTTTCTCCTGTGCATGATCTTTAAGAAGCTCCACTCATTTCACAGTTTAAATAAGAATTTTTACATGTGAGTTCTGCAACCTTGAGAACCACTGACAACCATCAAAACCATGACTGGGTAACAGAAAGGATGAAGAAGATAAGGAGAAATATTCTAGCTCTTAAAGCACTTTAGGGGAAAACGGCTACTGAGGGAAGAAATGGGACCTAAAATGTTTGAAAAATTAATGCTGGCTTCATGGATTATTCTAAACGCAAGACCCCTTACTCCCAACACATACACTTCTCTAATTAAAAAAAACAATTTTCTGATCTTCACTTTTTCACACTCTTATACTAACTATAATTTTCATTTTTCAAGTTCTCTCAGAAAAGATGGAAATGTCATATTCAATACACTTAGTTCTTGTAAAGCTCCACCAGACTTAAGGGTCTTCCATTCAAATGGGATCTTATGGTCATATAAACAAAGACTTTAAGCACAAGTAACATAAGAAAATTGGTCAGAAGTAAAGCCTTATACTCCAAATATTATTTAAAAAATACTGATGCCAGGTGGTATGCACTAGTATACCTAGCACATAAACAGCACACTAGAAGGATTGGGAACTTCAGGCCACCACTGGGCTAGATAGCAAGATGGACTCAAAAAAACCCAGGGGATCAGAGAGATGGCTATAGCACATTGTTCTTGCAGAAGACCTGGGTTTGGTTCCCAGCACCTACAACATTGGGCAGCTCACAACCTGTAACTACAGTTCCTGGAGATGTCACCTTCTTCAGGCCTCCAGGTACACCTGCACAGAGTGTACATACTCACACACAGATACACATAATTCTAAGGAAAGATATTAAAGTTAGTTAGATGCATATAAACTTGTGTGCATAAATCCACTTAACAAAATAATAAGCTGTGAAACATCAAGGAAGATGGAAAAAAATAGGCTGGATAGTGTTCAGAATAGAATTTTCAGAAAACGGCTAAATAAGTATGAATGTGATGAAAAAAAAAATAGATGTATAGCCTCTAAGAGTTTAATTCTTTAAAAATGAAAGCAGAAACCAGAGCAGAAAATTTCAAGAATTTTTACCAGAAGCTTCTATAAGGAGGAGCAAGATAAGAAACTTAGTCTGTAATGAAAGAGACACAAGGCAGAAGGACAGACACAACCTAGTGAGAATTCCATGGGGTTATCTTTTAAGAAAGGCTGGAAACCCTCAGGGCCCACTGCAAATGCCAACATGTAGCACCCACACAGATGGGAAGGAGTTAAGATAGATACTGTTGCAAATGGGATGGCAACAGAAAAAACAAAACAAAACAAACCTTTACCCGATTCTTATTTAAAATAGTCACAATAGCCAGGCATTAGTGGCACATGCCTTTTAAATCCAGCACTCAATTGGGAGGCAGAGGCAGATGAATCTGTGTGAGCTTCAGGACAGCCTGGTCGACAATTCAAGTTCCAGGGCAACTAGGGCTAAACAGTGATACCCTGTCTAAATAAAGAAAATAAAATAGCCTTGGGGGCTATGACTTTATTTCATAAGGAAAAAAAATGTCTTGGGAACCTAAGTCCAAGACGTTTAAAGTAGAACCAGGGCAGAGAGATAATTCCGAAGCGTTTATTTCTTCTAGTACTTGTGGGTGCACTCGAACTCCCATGTGCCCCGGGGCGAATGGTGTCACCTGGTCCAACTGGGGTAGTGATGGGAAGACCAACTCAACCGCTGGAAACTTGAATAGCCTCTTACTGGAGTGCCTGAGCATCCATGAATACCGTCGCGGATGCGCGGGATTTCAAGGATGCGCGCGGAGAACAGGGCGGGGCGAGGAGAACGCGGCCCTCGGGGACAGGGACCGGCAGCGTGACGCTCCGGGTCAGAGGCGCACAACCGGCGGGCCCGAGGCAGAAACGCCTTAAGTGCGACAAACTCTGCCGGAGCCGAGGGCCGGAGCTCCAGGGATGGGGCCGCTAGTTTCGAGATCGCCGCAAGTCCCTTCCCGAGCCCTTCGGAGGCTGGCGCTGGGGGCGACAGGGGGACCGCGGGGCCTTCGGCGACGCCTTCGCTCGGAGCTCGGTGCCGGGAAGCGCAGCCCGGTAAATCGAGGGCAACGCGCACTCACCGTCCATGGTCTCCCTCACCGCGTTCAGATTGGCCGAGGACATGGCCCCCGAGCTGCTACCACTCGCCATGGCTGAGGCCTGACCCGGAACTGGAGCGCCTGCAGTTCCCGGGCAAACGCGCCGCGCGGCTTGGCTTTCTCGGGACAAGCCCCTCCCTGTGGGGCCCCGCCCCCGCTCCAGGTCCCGCCCCTCACGCCCGGCGCCGGCGTGTGGCGGCGCAGATTTGAATTTGGAGCCTCGTTCTTCAGCGCGGAACGTAGAGCGAGGAGTAGGCGTTCGAATTCACCCCGCCGCCTCCACGCCATTGGCTGGTTCGCGGAGGGCGATGAGATGCGATTGGCCAGTCCCTCTCTCAGCCCCGTGCCCTGGTTGGCCTGAGACAGCGCGGAGGGAGTTAAAGAGTCGGGCCTGTAGTGGGAGCTGCTGTCGGTGTTGGCGCTCCCGGGGTGTTCCCGGTTGTAGGTACGTTCACCGTGGCTCCTGACCTTTGCTCCTGTCTGGTTTCCAGGCTCCAGATCTTCTTTCCCGCCTGCCCGCCCCGGGGCGAAAAGGAGCACTGAGGGAGTCGGGGAAAGGGGTGCCCCAAAACTGGGGTCGCTGGGAGTGACATTTCCTCTGCTGTTCGCCGGCTCGACTTTGATCTTTCAGAAGTGAATTCTTTTTGTCCGGCTGGAGCCCCCTTTGGAAGGAATGCAGTGTAGCTGTGTATCCTAGCGGAGTGGGGGTCTTGAGGAAAAGCAGCATTTTTGCGGAGAAGTACCGCAATGGTCAATTCCCCACCTGAACCCCCTCTATCACCCTTCTCTGGTGAGGCTACCCTGCAAGCAGGGCGTCTTTACCCCAGCCTCCTCACATCTTTGCTTACCCTAAGACTTGTTAAGTGCTTTGCAGTTCCGTGGAGAATTACTGGGGTACTCCAAAGGTGTTCATACTCTTGAGTCTTGAGATAATGAATAAAAGCTACTAATAGAAGTGGTTTCGTCGGAAAGGTACTTGTGCTTAGTGTGATTTAGCTGCCTCCAAGGCGGGCCTGAACTCACTCATAACTGGTTGATGTATTTCAGCCACTTCTCTGAGTTTGTTCATACTTCTGGAAAATGATAGCACCAATAACTTACCTCTCCAGCTTTCAAGGTTAGCTTGAGGATCTCCTGAGAAAATGTATTGGATGCTTTCCTGTAAACCATAAAATAACCCCAAGAGGATTAGACTTGTAGTTAATTCTTTTTGTGAGATACTTGAATATATTTTATCAGGATTAATATATATGATGCTTAATAATTTTAATATGTATACTTCTGTTTTCCTTATAGATTTCTTTCTGGGCTATGGGAGATGTCAACGAATTAAAAATGCAGATAACACCAGAAACTCCAGGAAGGATCCCTGTTTTAAATCCCTTTGAAAGCCCTAGTGATTATTCTAATCTACATGAACAAACTCTTGCCAGTCCTTCTGTTTTTAAATCTACAAAACTACCAGTAAGTTATTTTTGACTGATGTTTGTGAATGATTTTAAATGGAAGTAACTGCAAATAATTTTTCATGTAAATATCTTTCACAAGGTAAGAAAAAAATGTATTCTGGAACATACATAAATGCAGCATGCTTTGGGTTTTTTTTTTTTTTTTTCCAACGAAGTCTCATATATTCCAAGCTATCCTGGAGCTCACAATGTAGCTGAGGATGGCCTTGAACTCCTCATCCTCCTGCCTCCACCTCCTGAGTGCTAACATCATAATTTTACTCTACCAGGTTCAGTTTATGTGGTGCTAGGCAAACACTTAAAAACTGAGCTACCCCCCAAGCCCAGCAATGTGTTTTTAAATTATAGTATTCATTATAAACTATGGTTGGGTTGATAATATGGTAGAAAAAGGTTTTAATCAGCACTTTTTCAAAAATTAGTTTCTAATCAATACTAAAACAAAAATTGCACATATTGATGGGGTAGGATGTCTTAATTCATAGATGCATTATATACTGTTTCAATAAGGGCAAACATCTATTTGCTCAAATATTTATAGTGAAAAATTTCAAAAATCCAAACTTTTGGTAATGTGCAGTACATTATTGTTTCTATAATCACTCTACTGTGCAGTAGCACCTCAGAATTCTTTTTTTCAGTTTTTTGAGACAGGGTTTCATTGTATAGGTGGCCTGGAATTTACTGTGTAGACCAGGATGGCGGCGGACTCAGAGATCTGCCTACCTCTGTCTCGTGAGTGTCAGGATTAAAGGTGTGCACCACCAATTTCTTACTCTTATGGAACTAACATTTACTTTCGTAATCAAAGTGATTGCATGCTAACTTATTATAGTTTGAAGTATACCCAGAGACTGTAATTGATGTTATGTCTATTGTTACTGTCCTGGTTAATAGGGCTCTCAATTTGACACAGCCTAGAGTCACTTGAGAAGGGAGTCTGAGTTGAAAGATTGCCTAGATCGGGAGAGGGGCCCTTAGGTGTGTCTGTGGAGGATTGTCTTGGTTGTTTATTGATGTGGGAGGGCCCAGCCTATTGTGGGGAGTACTGTTCCCTTGGCAGGTAGTCTTGTCCAGGTCCTGGGCTATATGACAGGCTAGCTAACCATGAGCCTGTGAGTGAACCAACAAGCAATGTTCTTCCATGGTTTCTGCTTTAAGTTCTTGCTTGAGTTCCTCTTCTGACTTCCCTCAATGAAAGACTGTGACCTGGAATTGTAAGCCAACTTAGTCCTTTTCTCCCCTAAGTTGCTTTTGGTCAGAGTGTTTTATCATAGCAACAGAAAGGCAACTACATACTACAGAAGAAGCTGTGTCATCTAATTTTCTATTCTAGTTCATTCAGCACATATTTTGAGTGCTGTCATGTATCAAATACAGGGCTAAGCTCAGACAAATTAGGATCACTTGGCACAAGCCCTCAAGGAACTTACACACCTATGCGAGCAGTAGACTTCTACTCTCGATATCCAGACAGGTGATACTTAGGTTTTGTAAATCATCTGGTCACAGGTGAACTACTCTTATGTACCTCATACTGAAAAAGCAGCCAATGATGATGTGGAAACAAAGAAATATGACTATTCTAATAAAGAACTATAAACACTGAAATTTTAATTTCATGTTATTTTTATGCTATGAAATAGTAATAACATTTTTACTTTTTTTCCAGCCATTTTAAAATGTCCAAATGCATTGTAGCTTGCAAGCTGTTATAGAAGGAAGCCAACCCAGAAGCTACTGGGATAAACTCAACTGAAAGAGCAATTTCACAATAGTGAAATATGTGTTATGATTAGTATTTAGCACAAGGATGATATGGAAGGAAATGTGCAGTTTAGGAGATTAGAGAAGGCTTCAACATTTTAGCTTATTTTCACTCTTACCACAATGGCAAGTTCTTTTGATCTGTTAACCTCTTAGAAAAACTGTAAAACCAAGTGACTTTCTGTTGCATTCTATATCACCTTAGACAATGAGTTGGTGTACATGAACCATTTTATAATTTATATGGAGTCATTTCATTAATTTGGCCTCACAGTGTTAATTGAATCATGGTAAAATTTATCTTTTAGTATTCTTTAAAAGTCAGTAATGGAGACTGAGGGAGCTCAGTTGTTAAAATAGTTCCCATTTGTCATGTAAGCATGAGGACCTTAGTTAGGCCCCCCAGGACCCTGCAAAAAAGCTCTGTGTTATATGTTTTTGTAATCCCAGCTCTGGGGAAGTGGAAGTAGGCGGATCCCTGAGGTTCATGAGCTAGTCAGCCTATGTTAATCCAAGAGAGCCAGGTCAATGAGAGCCTGTCTCAAAAATTTAGGGATGGCTCCTGAAAAGCAGCATTTATTATTGACCTCTGGCATCTCCATTCAGTGTATGCACACATATGTGTACCTACACAAATATGCACACAGGCACATACACAAAAAATAATAAAAAGAATTACAGTAATTAAATTTCAAAGCCAAGTCAGGTGTGGTAGCACACACCTTTAATCTCAGCACTAGGGAGGTAGAGGCAGGCTAATCTCCGTGAGACCCAGGCCAGTCTGGTCTACATAGTGAGTTCCAGGCCAGCTGTGAGAACAGAGATGCTGTCTTAAAAATTCCCAAACCAAGTGAAAAATAGTTTTTAGCCACCATGTGGGTGCTGGGAACTACTTGGATCCTCTGCAAGAGCAGCCAGTATTCTTAACTGCTGAACGATCTTCAGCCCCTCATGTTTAATTTTTCATTCTCTGTAACCAAAGTATATCTGAGGCCTACACAAGTCTCACAGAAAAAAATTTTTCATGCAAATTTTAAAGTCAGAATGTATGAGCTCTTGTTTTGCCCTAAAATATATTTATAATTAAAAGTTTTGATTTGAGTAAGGTTTTGGGTCAGTTGAACAGTTAATGGAAAGGCATTCCTGGATGTCATTCATAATTAAAGAATCAGTTATTTCATGAGTATTTGAAGCTACTGCTATAGCTAGGACTTCTAAAAATCACTCAGATGGAGGATTTTGATATTTTAAGAGACAGTGAAGCAAGTTGACTTGATTACCATTTGCCACTTAATTTAGTGATAAACTCAAGTTCAGAAAGCAAGCTTTTAAAATATATTTGTATGATAACTACCTGCACTTTTGAGGATAATATTGGGTAGCATTTTGATGAAATCTTTTAACTTGATTTTGCATATATGTTTACTTTCTTTTAAGACTCCAGGGGAATTTAGGTGGTCTATAGATCAACTGGCTGTAATAAATCCTGTAGAGATAGACCCAGAAGAGATTCATCGTCAAGCTTCCTACTTAAGTCATTCTCGGTAAGTTTTCCTTTCTTGTACCTAAGTGTACTACCATACTGTTGAATGAAGAGAAATAAGCTCTAAAAGCTAAGTATATATATATATATATATATATTTAAAGATATATAAAGAGGAAAAAAATTTAATGCAGAATGAGTTCCAATATTTGTGTCTGGCAAGATTCTCTCACTTACAGTTGCAAATCTGTATAGGAACCCTTTTCCAGCACAGGTAGCCTCTCCTGCTACCTAGAAGGCAGTTCTGCCTTTGTAGTGCTTGGTAGAGGAAAGGGCATTTTAAAATTTATTGTTTTCTCCATGGTGTAGCTTCTGAGGTGCTTCATTTTTGTTTCAGGATACAGCAAGATTCTATTTAGTTATTTTCTGATGGAGGAAGCCTAAAATCCCCTGAACACGTTAAGACACATTGAAAGGAACAGTATTAGTTACAGAGCTGTATAGACATCATTCAGCTTTGACACAGTTCATCTGGGGATCTGAGTTATATTTTCTTCTTAAAGAACCATTAATTATTGTGTGTGTGTGTGTGTGTGTGTGTGTGTGTGTGTGTGTGCATGCACCTGCCATGGCATGGGTGGGTAAGGAGGTCAGGGGACAACTTTTGAGTCAGTCTTTCCTTCCATATTGGGGTCTGGAGATAGAATTCAGGTAGTCAGGTTTGTGTGATGAGTGTTAACTGCTAAGCCATTTTGCTGGACCATGAATTATATTCTATCTTTTTTTTTTTTTTTTTTTTGAGACAGGGTCTCCTTGTACCCTGGAACTTACTATGTAGACCAGGCTGGCCTTGAACTCAGAGAGCTCCATCTGCCTCTGTTCTTTAATTCTGCATGTTGCCTGAGTAGTCTGCACTTCTTTGTTGATGTGTTGTATGTACTTTGAAGCACTAGTGTTCCTCAGACTTGTGCTGCTCAGTGATGTTCATTGTGGTAAAAACATGCACTTACTTCTTTAGCTAGTTTTTTTGTGGGGAGGGAGGGCAAGGGGGGGCAGGTATTTTGAGACAAGGTCTCCCTGTAGCCCCAGCTGGCCTAGAACTCCCTGAGATCTGCTGGTCTCTGCCTCTCAAGAGTATAGGTTTTAAATGTATTTGCCATGAAGCCCAACTTTTTTTTTTTAATTAGCAAATTGTTAGGCAGTGTTACTTAAGGTTTAAAGAACTTTTGTTTTACAGTCTGATTAAAAAAAAATCAAATATATGCTTTGACTAGCTTTTAATTTTGTCTTAATAAGGTTGTTACTCCAAAAGAAGGGGATGTTTATCCTTGTGATTTTAGAATTCATTCATAGGATACATGTGTTGAGATGCTCTTCTAAATACTTGACTGACTTTTCTACTCCATCCTGTCTTTGCTTAGTAATCTCATGATCATTCACTCATAATTAACTAACGATCACCTGAATAGTTATACAAAGGGAATAGACTAGAGGCTGGAGAGGTGGCTCAGCGGTTAAGAGTACTGGCTGCTCTTGCAGAGGACCCGGGTTCGATTCCCAGCACCCACATGGCAGCTAACAACCATCTGTAACTCCATTTCCAGGAGAACCAAGACCTTCTGACCTTCATGGGTATTGGACAACACAGGTACATTTACATACATGCAGGCATAACACTCATATACATAAAATAAAAATAATAAATATTTTTTAAAAGGGAATAGACTAGAGATAAAGCATACAAGATTTAAAAAGTTTAAGTAATATGCTAGATAGAGAAGATAAAGAATAAATGCAAATGAGTTCGTGAGTTTGTTGTTGTTGCTTTAGGGTTTTTGTTTTGTTCTATGAAACAGGGTTTCCCTGTAGCCCCAGCTGCTCAGGAACTCACTACATAGACAGGCTGGCCTCCATCTCACAGAGGTCTGCCTGCCTTTGCCTCCCAAGCACTGGGACTAAAGGTGTGCACCACTACGCCCGGCTCATGAGTCAATTTTTGTCTCACGCAAACTGTATGCTTTATTATTTTGCCTTGTTTCCTCATTATATTGAATTATACACAATTACTATATCAGTCAGAAGATGCTTATTGAACATTATGAGGCACTGTGAGAAACACTGAAAAATATTGCAAGATATTATTCTTGCCCCTAAGAGCTTATGAGACCATTAGACCACAGTTACAACACATTTCTCTACTGAAAAATAAATGATGTGTTGTCTGGCTAAGTTTATAAAGAGAATCTTGGTGTGTTTCAGAAGATACATTTATTTCACAGGAGGGAGGAAAAGAATAGGAACATATTCTAATGTTAAAGTAGTTTCCTAATGTAATTCAATTATGGCTTCTACCAAAGAAAGTGCAAATATTCTCAACAGAACATGTTGGTTCATTCTTAGAAACAAGCAGTGGTCTCTGCTTCTCTTCTTAAGTAATCAGTACTGTCTCCGTTCTTCTCGTGCCATAGCACACACAGACAATGGTAGCTGTAGGGCATACCACAATAAATTAAAATGTCAGTAGTCAGCGTACTTGCCACCTGTGTGCATTAGTGGTGTGCTAGTCAGGGTACTTTGCACTGTTCTTGCAATTTTGATTGGCCTCACTGATTCCAGAAATCAGCTGAATATCTTAGGTTCAAGTCCCTCTGATGAAACAGTAAAAGGTTTCTGAATGGGCTGAAGTTAGATTAGAGTTTACTGGAATCTAAGATTATATATGCATTGTCAATTTGACCTAGTTATGATATGACTGTGGTAGTGAAGGCAACTGAGTTATTAAACCTAAAACAACTATCATTCAAGGTAGGATATGTGGATTGTCATTGAAGGTTATTTACTTATAATTCCCTTATTTGAAAAATTCACTTGATTTAAATTTCTAAAATATATTCTTGTACAAGCTATTTTTCCCGTTTAGACAGTACATGTACATGAACAGTTTCTGAGAAAAATAATTTGAACTTATTACTTTAAAATCCACTTACCAATTTATGGATGGAATGCAAGCATTCTTTCCTGCTAAAGAATGTGGTCTTACAAGGCTAATTGCCAGATCCTTGGCAAGTGGTGTCTTGTGCTTTTGACCCGACATTTTATATTGAATCTTATAGCTCAGACATTTGTGTTGCTATAATGCTATATTGTATTAGAGCAAAAAAAAAAAAAGTATTGGACAAAATTTTATATTGTTGCTGTATTTCAGTTACTATTTTTATTTGTTTATTCAGAATGGCAAGGATGGTAATTTCCTTTCAGGATAAAACTTTATCCTAAAATTAACTCGGTGATAAAATTAAAAAATATTTGAAAAAAGAGAAATTGGGTAATTTTCAGATTTCAATTAAATGAAATGCATGTTCATTTTTGTTGCTTAAATCACAATCTATACAAATTATGTTGTTGGTAGTAACTTAGATATATCAACATAAGCCTTGTAAAAGAAAGTTTCATTGCATTCAAATTTTGAATGGCAGAGAAGTAAGCTTAAGTAGATTTTAGAATACTGCCATTAACCAAATGTAAGGCAACCAATTTTTCTTTAAAATGAATTTAACATTTTCCTGTTTCAGTGAAGGGAAATTATTTCTTTGAAAGGTTATTGTTTTAAATGTTCAATAAGCTGAAGTAATGGCCTGGTTATTTTTCTTCTTTATCTTTATAGAATAGATAAAGATGTGGAAGACAAAAGACAAAAAGCCATTGAAGAGGTAACTTAACACTGTTACTGGTTACTGATCATTAAGCCAGCTGAGGATGAATTCTGCATGTATCCCCTCCTTCAGGAAGACCATCTCCTCTCCCCTTTGGTCCTCAGTGCTCCCCCTCAGTGCTTTCCTCCCTGCCTGCTTAGGCACATTCTGAGCTCTTTACAGGGCCATCTTGGTATTCTCTGAGGACTCATTTGCTGTGGTAGTGATTGGCTTAGTGCTTCTCTGCCTAGAATGGATACTTCCTTGGTCCATGGTGTTCCCTGTTCATCTTTTCATTTTTAGGGCCCCCCACAGTCTTCCTTGTGCTTTCAGAATATTGATTAGCATAAATTTCTATTTCAGATTGGAGTTTATGTAAAGGAAGATGAGTATTTTTAGGCCTTCACAATCCAGTTTGGCATGGGCAATGATTTTGTCTTGTTGTTAGTGCTTAAGGATTTTTAAGACTTAGCATATATTTCATAAATAAAATGCCTTCCTGCTAATTGCAAACAGAAAGTTCTTGTTTTATTTTTTAGTAAAAACAGTGAACTTTTTTTTTTCTCTTTTTGCTTTTTTGGTTGTTAAATTCCTTATCATAGACTGTAAGGATTATATAGTTCCTTCCAGAGAAAGGCTTTATGTCATGGCAGCATTTCTGATTTATTTTCTTTTTCTCTCTAGTCTTCTCTACACATTTCTCTTCCTTCGTTATACTTGGGTCTTCTGCAGCCCCAAAGACCTTCAGCTATGACCTGTTTAGAAGTCAGGTGATGCAAAGGACACTGCATTGATATTCTTTTCTTTTTTTTTTTAACTTTGAAAAAAATTTATTGACAGTTTCATACATGCATATGTTTTGATCAAATCCATACCCATTCCCTCCCCTCCAACTCCTCCCATATCTCCCTATCACTTTTTCCCGAACAACTTTTATTTATTT